TCTATACTTACATGTTCCTACAGTGGGAAGCCCCGCCAGCCGAGGCGGGCGCGCGCTAGCGTTTACAATTAAATACTCCCTTTATGTCGTATATTCTGATATATTGGGAGTATCTGATAGCAGGGGGGGTGAGGGGGATTTTATATTAGAGGGAGGGAATTAAGGCTTGAAGGGAAACGTTTCGGTCAACCAGCTGGACACAAACAAAAGCCGGTGCAATAACGAGGTCAAGGTCATGAACACAGCATTGACCACCCCATCATGAGAACCACCTAAACCCTAAACCCTCAACCCAAACCCCTAAATCCCTAAACCCTAACCCTGAACCCTAAACCATGATAGAACCAGACAAGCAAGGACTCTTTATTCTACCGAAATCCTTCAGATTCCCCTCCCATACTTGAGCCGTAGTCTAAACTCCAAGTAACCCCATTAATAGCCCTTGAGTAGTCCCCTATATAATTCCCTACATATCCCCGCTTTAAGGAGTTTAGATAAATTCTGGCTCACTTGAAGTTCATGAAGGCGAATGTGCGCGCATCATGGCTTAAGGTAGCCAAGCCGCATGATGGGCTTCTCATTCCGCCGAAGAGTCTCCAGCTTCTTGTCCTGAGATGGGATTGGAGTCTGAGACAGCTGAGTTTGTAGTGTGTATGAAGGCTAGAGTACCCCCACAGAACTTTGCAGAGAGTAGTAGCTACAGCTATGGTACTTCTGACCGCGGACAGGCAAGTAGGATCTCCTCGTTTAAGCTTTAGGTTGTTCAAGTGTCTATCTTTTCAGGGTCTTTGTCCTGTCATTTCAAGGTTTGTGGCTTCATTCCTTAAACTGACTTAAACATCTCCGGCTTCGTGCTTACACACCGCCCACAGCATTGAATGTGTTCGAACTTGGACCCTGACCCGGAGGACCTTGTGGCTTTGAGAGAATCCTTTCTGTTGGTAGCGATGCTTGGAGGGGGCCAACTGTCACTTATAGTGGTTTCCATTTTCTTTTCCATTATCCCCATAATATCCCTATATAACCCCTTTAACGGGACCCATAGTCTATCTACTTCTTTAAACCTGCGGGCCTGCACCGTTTTGGGCTACGTTGCGGCCTGCGCTTTTCGTGCAGGAGCTTAGTGTGGAAGCACAGGCAGCTACTGACGACATCAAGGCGCGACTCGGTCACATGTTGCAGGCTCTCGAGGGGCACACGCTCTGCCAAGATTGGGGTCACAAGATTCTTGCTTGGATTGCTTCCCCCATTTTATAAAGCTACATGGACCCAATATATACCGTATTATAGTGGTAGTTTCCATTTTCTTTTCCATGATCCCTATATAACACCAATATATTCCGAAAATCAGGGATTTTGACTGGGTCGAAGAACTTTGTGAGAACCATCTCAAGTTTGCTCGGCTTAGGCCACTGCTTACCCTGAGCAACTTGCAGTTCCGGGCTGACCAGGTCTTTAGGGTTTAGTGTTTAGGGTTTTAGGGTATAGGGTTTTGGGTTTAGGGTTTTAGGGTTTTAGGGTTTAGGCTTTAGGCTTTAGGACTTTAGGGTTTAGGGTTTTAGGGTTTAGTGCGGCCTCTCTGCACAG